TAGCTGTCCAAATTACTTCTCTAAGTTAATTGCTATAAGCTTCCTATAGAAAAGAGCAGTGTTTTGCTTCAGTAGTTCTTCTAAACTCACTTTGTGTGGAATTGGATGGTTTTATCCATTAGAGAAGCATGGATGCCCTTCCACATAGGATGTAGCAATGATTGCAGGTTTCCTAGGAAACATGGAAAATGGGATATATGCAAAGAATGCACACAAAGTGGATTCATTCATGCTTTACAAGTCTTTATTTCATTGAAAGACAGAATATTTGCTAAAAAAGAAACAGTTTACATTAATAATTAACAGGATGAGAAACTTAGTACATTTTAATAGAACTCAGGTATGTTTCTAACTCATTAAAGCCATTTCATCCAACTTGTGCAAGTCAAGCAGATGCTCTCTTTCTTTTTTGCAATTAATTATCCATTCTCCCTTTTTTAATTAGAATTTGTTAGAAAGCAGAAGGGGATTTAGGTCTTGCTTTTTAAGAAGCAAAACTACACTTGTGGTTTGTGTAAGGAAATAAGGTGTAAGGCCTTTTTATTGGATATTTAATTTTTGGACTTTTGGAGGCTATTTCTTATATTGTGCTGTAATGTTTTTTGCTTAATTTACTGAGTGTATAGTTTAAATTTAGCATTTTTCATTTAATGGTGCCTGCCAGATTTACGAATAGAGGAAAAATATACTTAGTTGGATTTCTTCCCATGAAATAACATTTCAATTAGTTCAGCTCACACTACACTTTCTATTCTTACAATATTTTTAAGCATAAAATATCTTTAATGTTAAATGTTTCAGAATCTGATGCCTCTTTTCAATATTGCAACTTCAGTAGCTTCGTGAGTGCTGTGTAATTCAGTGCAGAGGAGGCTCAGAGTACTGCTTAAAATGCAAATAAGACGTCATGGAGACTACTATCTCTTTTAGTGAAGTAAGCCTTAGTACAGGCTTTGCACTAAAGGTCCTAGCAAAGGGTTTGTTCTCCATTGGGGTACATATCCTTCTTTTTTCAGAGGTGTGTTCAGAAAGCCTGCATTCAAGCTTCATACCACAGACTAGTACAGTAAAAAGTAAATTCTTTTGAACTTCTAAAATACTGGTAATAATTGTAGAAAGCTAAGCTACAGATTTAAAATGATTCTACAAATAAATCATAGATAATTTAAATGGCATTTATGTGATTATACCTATAGCAGATGGAGCATTTTAGAGGGAAAAGGGACTCATCTGGAAATATATGAAGCTGTAGTGTGAATCACATGGTTGAGCTCTCCTGCAGTCACTGAGTATCATTGAGGCCCTGCTGTACAGTCTTGGATGTTTTTTTACTAGCTTAAGTTTGGAAGATGGACCATTGTTTAGCCTTGTATGTGTTTCCATCAATGATTTTATTTATATATGTATATAAAAATTACTTTTTTTCCCCACTGAAAGACAGCAGATGACATTGTAAATGTTTCCATTAAGAAAAGGAAATTATATACTAAATAGGATATTTATAAAAGGCAATATCAAAGCATAGAAAAATGTTTTAAAACAAGTGTTAAGGGGAAAAGGATTGGCCAGGAAAAAAAAATGCTGATGGAGCCTTTCATTTTCAGGAGAGAATTTTAGTCTTTTACTTCTATTGGAAGTTTTTGTTGAAGGTCTTGATATTTTGGAGTGCTGAGCATGATGTCAATTGATACCTAGCAACCTAAACATCAGCCCTTTGCTATAAGGAAAGGTTATGGCATTTATTTCTGTAAGTGCTATTAAAAATTATATTTAGATGGAGGGAATGATACATACAGGTTCACAAAAAAAATATATATATTCAAAGCTTGTGCAGCTGACATCAGAGAGGTAAACTTGGGCATTTTTTATCCACCCCTTATCTTTTATCAAATCTTGAAACAGTATTTCTCCCTTACTGCTGTACAACAGATAATTCAATATCTAAACCACAACTGAATGAACCAAATAGTTGCATGCTGTTGCTCTCAGAATCTGAATAATAGACCTTCATTGGCAGTGGTGATGTTCTGTGTTGTTTTTAAACAGTTTGCTTAACAATATGCTCTCAACAGCCTCTTTTTACCACAAAGAAAGGAAGCTATTCTACATCAGATTTAGGTCAAGAGTTTCAATTTCAAGAGACAATGCTGTCTGTCTCCTTTGACGGTGATAGAATGTGGGATTTTACATCTTTGATTGAGTTTAAAGCATTTAGGAATTCTCTCCAACCACCAATAAATAAATTAATAAGTATGACTAAGACAATTCTTAGGTCCATTCAAAACAAGTATTTTTTAAAGCAGAACATCACTTGTTTTCTACAAAATTGTGGTAATTTTTTTTGTCTGTTACATAGGAAGGAAAAAATCTAAGCAGAAGCTAAAATTTCAGAAATTCATACACCCCATAGAAATTTTGCAAAACATGCACTCACTTCACTGTATATTGAGTCACTCATAATGTTACTGAAGAAGAATGTATGTCTTGAAAATTGTTCAGATTTTCCATGACATCAGGAAGTAGCATGCTGATTATGCAGATGTAGATAATTGACACTCCTGTTGAAAAGACTTCATTTTCAGACTCTCCTTTAAATCCAAAAGTTGTTTGTTTTTTTAAACTCAGGAGAATATTTATAAACTCTGTCTTAAAAGGAAGTACAAGGAACATAACATAGCAGGGCTTATTCATTACTAATAGATCAAGGGAATGATGATATAAATATTAAGAATTACAATAATTTCTTAGTGATGGTTTTCAGCACCAAAGTTATGATGCTGTGTCCAAGAGTCCTCTTGTAGATGTGCTGTCTTTTGTTAGAAATGAGATAGTACTGGAGGTTGAAGTGTCAGAAAAAGTAGTAGCTGAAAAAAGCTTTTAATTTATAAAAAGGGAGTTAGTGGGCCATGAATTATGAAGCATCTCAGGAGGGAAGTGGCTCAGTTGCTAGCACAGAATCAGCACAGTTTTGTATAAATGGCACCAATAACTGATGGGAAACAGTTTTTCGTGTGAATCATATTTACACTGTGCAGTAGTTGGAGCCCCAAACCTTAGTAATAGAAGGCTATGAATAATAAGAATATACGGATTATGAGAATTGTTGCCAAACAGAGACTACTGGAGGGAAATACAAATTATATTTTAGATTAAAATCATGCTTTCCTAATGGCTGCAATCGCTGAGGAAGGACGGTTATCTACCTCTCTATAGTTACCTTTTTCCCCAGTTTCCCGTAATGTATAAACCGTACCTGGTTCCAGGTATGGTCAGCAATAGAGTACTAAATTAGATGGGCCCTAGATGTGTCCAAGAGTGAGTGGCATTATCTTTATGGCTGACTACATCTTTACCATGAAATAACTTTAATATTCAATAAAGTGTATAATTGAACAGTGCAATAATCTTATATGTTTTCTTTAGAAGTGATGCTTCATTTTATAATACATGTTGCACTTTTAAAGCCTTTTATTCTGATTTTTCTGTATTATTGCTCCTTCCATTTCTACTAGTGTTGTTTGTTAACTTCACATGTATTCAGAAAAGAGTAAAGCTTCTATTTCTGAGGAAAAGCAGTGCAAAACTTGTGCATTTTCCTATTTATTTAGAGTGCAAAATACATCGGGATGTATTTCATCAAAGCTTGGGCAAGTCGTTCCTGCACAGGGAGAAACACATTAACTGTGAAGCTTGGTTCCATACCTGTGCCATATACTTACTATAACTGTAACTTGTCACCATCACTAGTTTTTTTTCTTTAGTCTCAAAGTAGCATGAAATACTTTGCAGCCAATCTCTGCATATGTATAAAAAGAAGTTTACAAAGTTTGATTTTGTATTGATTTAGGGGGTTTTGTGCTTTTGGGCTTTGTCTCTGCTAACTTTCTGTCAGAAACCTGGAAGGTTTTTTTTCCATTATAAGATGCTAGGAGTAAAGTTGAGTGTTACTGACATTGTTCTGGATAACACTTAGGAAACTCTGAACTGGTGAGCTACATAATACCAGTAATTGAGTGTCCCTTATCAAGGTTTCTATTAATTTCATTTTCATCAGGTCTTTAAATTACACCTAACTTCTTTTCAGTGTTGTGCGTATCATGAAGTAGATCTTTCCTTTCTAATAAGCTGGTAGACCTCTGTTATTTACCTTCATGAAATTTAAGATACGATCTCCAAATAAGTTCACCTTTGATTCAGAATCCCAGACAGCTGCAGAAAATACCTTCTCTCAGTGACTGGTATTGTTTCAAGAGTGTGTTTTCTTCATGGGTGTAACTCTACCGGGCAGATGAGGAAAGAAAAAGTACCTAGCAAAAGAGGGGAAATAGAGTGGTGCTACCAGTTATGGAATTGACTGCTTAGAAAGAAATAAGCTGAGCTTTTTGTATGTGATAAAAGGACGTGGAGCTCTGTGTTCACCAGCGTAGGCACAGTGTATATATGCTGAACAAAAACATGTTATACATGTACAACAAATAAATATGTAATCAATGTTGTTATCTGACCAAAAAATGTGGCTGTTAATCCTGACATATGTTTTGGATGTAATGCAGGAAAAATGCTGTGGTGCTTTACATCAGCTTTTAGTGAGCAGTGTCGTATGTTAGACTCGTACCCACATTATATCTATCTTTTGTTGTTAAATACGTACATAAAAGAAAACAAATGTGAAGCACATTAGTGTAATTAAGGACTGGAGGAAACCCATTGATCCTTATTTGAAACTGCTGATAAATTTAGCTTTACGTCATTGCTGGATTGCTTCAGATGATCAGGTAGAAATAGAAGTCGGTTCAGCTATGTTCTTTCCCCTACATCTTTGGGTTTTGCATTTCTGAAGAACATGTGTAGTACATTTTTGTTACGTTATTTACTGCCTGGGAAGAAATCAGTGGGGAAGAGTATGGAAGCAGTGAGAGAGGGAGGAGACATGCTATAGATTTTTCGCAATCTGAAAGCACAGAGTTGAAACCACATGCATGCTTCTTATTTGCTCTTAGGTTTTCAGAAAAAGCAACGATCGAATGGTTGCAGCTCTTTGAAGGTAGTGGGGTTCCATATGGCCCAATCAACAATATGCAGCAAGTATTCTCGGATCCTCAGGTTTGTTCTCACTAAGTCTTTTCTATACATTATTACATGTGTTTTACAAACGCTGAGTAATGACCACTTTTCCTGCCACTCAGACCTGATTTCAGCTTCTTTAAAATGGGATTTGAGAGTTATATGGTGGATTGAGTTATATGGTGGATTGAGTTTAAGCTAATAATATGGCATAATAAGAAATAAATACAGATCCTTAAATGAATTATATGCTTGGGAACACAGATTTTGCCATAATGCATTAAACCATAGGTACTCCATGTCTTGTATGGAGTCTGTCTTTCAAAAATGGCTGGGAAAATAGGGGAAGAAACTGTAATATATTATGTAATTGCATTTTGTCAGATAAATATGCAGAAAAGTACCTTTCTTGCTGTCCAGAAGCAACCGATTTTCTGTATGGAGTATGGATAACCAGAATCTATACTGTTTGAAAAAAATGGGCAACTTTTTGACTGGAAACAGAAAAATGAAGCAGAAAAGTCATATGCAGAAAGGTTTTAACCTTTTCTTGGCCTGGTGGCTTCCCTGGCTGAGAACACTTCAGCTTTTTATTTATTCATTTATTTATTTTAAATTTTAAGTCTTTCACTGAATTGCATCTATACTTAATTATAAACAATTTTTTTACTTTTGAGTATCTCTAGAGTTATACTATCTGCATATTCCCTGATCCCTCCCCTTCTCATCCTCTGGCTTATGATGGGTTAAAGGGCCCAACACAAACTGAGCGATACTGTCTTGAATAGTGTAACAGAATATTTTACGGCTATTCTATTGTGTGATGAATCTCCTTTAAACTAATTTCTAATAATGAGAGTAACCAGAAAAATGATTGACCGTTGGAGGAAAAAAAAAAGCATCCAATTTTGTGTGTGTCCATGCCTACTGTCAAAAAGTGTTTGTCAGGACTGTGAATACAATTGTAGTCTTTGGGAAAGAAGAACAGGCAAAACAATCTCTATCATAGGGGAATATGTTTATAATAAATATGGTTTTTAGAAATATGTTTATTATATTTTAGAGGTATAAGACAATATTTATTAGGCTACTGCAAGGAAAGAAGTTTTTTTTTCTTAAATAAATATGCTCTTTCTCCCTAAAATGATGTAGTACCATGCTGTAAAGTATGCGTGGGCCAAATTTTTCACTTCATAACTTTCACAGGGATTAAGGTTGGGCTTTGAAGAACATACAGCAAGAGTCTTTATTTTACTCAGAACGTGGTTGACTTGGCTGTACTTGGGGCAACATTGGAAAAATATTCTTTGCTTCTTTTTGATGCTGTGAATTTTAAGAAGTCAGCTCCACTCTGAAAGAGGTGGCTTTTTAAAACATAGTATGTCATGGGATGGCCATTACCTCCCAAATTGAAGAGAGGTTAGCTTGGTTACCTTGCTTTTGTTAGAATTCACCTAAATATTACTTATATAAATAAAAATAAAATTATATTATAATTAATTATATAT